CCCCCGGCGATTCCGAGGCTGGTGGGCCAAGGGGGGCATGGAAGGATCGGGGAGGCATTTAAAGCCAAGGGAAAGAATGGGGCATGGCCTAATATGCTAATGAGCTGCACTGTCCAGGTGTGGCCTAATATGCTAATGGGTTTCTGCTGTTGGGTGTGGCCTATTATACTAATGAGTTCCTGCTGGGCTTTTTCTACCAAAAAAGCCCTGCGTAAAGGTGCCACTGGACTCGAACTTTGTTCTGGAATAAGCGTTGTCAGTCTTTAAGGTGCCTCTGGACTCCTGTTTTGTTTTGCCACGATGCATCGATGCAGCTCCCCTTCAGGAAGGAGCTGGGGCATTCTTACCTGCTTCTATATTTGAAAAATGTATTTTTATTAATATAGCCTTGTCGTATGTACCTATTCATGCTATTTGACAATTTTTGATGAATTCATATCTTCCCCTCCCCTTTTTTCCCTTTTGCGTCCCATTTTCTTTTGAGATTCTTTTTTTCCCCATTAACCCGAAAAAAGGAAGGAGCGAGGGCAGGAATGGACGTTTGCCAAGAGTGTGTGGGCATAGCAGAAGCCTGTGCCAGAATGAATGTGAATTAACAGGGAAGGATGAAGGACAAACATGCGTGCATATCTTTGTGTGCCCTCCCCGAGTGAAGGCTGTGCAACTTTCTATTGCCGTAACCACACAAAATTTGCAAAATGTTCAGTGCTCGTGCTGCTGCAGAAAGCCGAACAGCTGGAGGGGTTGGCGTTCCCAGCAGCTTGGCGATTCTGTCCGTGAAAGTGACTTTCCCATTAGGTTTTGGCATGTCCTTGCCATGGGTAGGGGGTCAGTTACGTTCAGGATCTGGCATTTGAGTTACAGCCTCCTGCCAGATTCAGCTTTGTCAGGGGGGCTCGTGTGCATGTACGAGATAACAAGAACATTTCAGTCTGTGGGAATATGGTTTTGGAGGGTGAAGAATGAGACCAGATATATACCAGATATTTCTGTGAATGTAGCACTCTCTCTCTGTGTGCTTCTCTGCCCCATAATACCTACTCAACCTGTACATTTGTAAATACATGGATCGTTTCAAAGACTCCAGTACTCTCCCTTCCAAAAACACCACTCGGAGTAAGGGGAGCATATATATCCAAGCTTTGAGTGATGTGCTGAGAAAAACAGGAGATATGTCTCTTTCCTGTCTTTGGTCTTCATGTTTCCTTATCAGCTGTTCTGAATACTTCCTTCCTTCCTTCCTTCCAGGTCCAGCCTGAGATAGAGGACTTGGACCCATCTCTGCTGCAGGAGCCCAAGGAAGAAAAACCTCAGGAGAAACTGGGGAAACTTCAGTACTCACTTGACTATGACTTCCAAAGCACCCAGGTGAAGATGAGCAGAGGTTCACTCACCATCCCAAATGGGAGCAGATGAGCCTATTCTATACCCTTCTAGTATTGTAAAGATGGATAGATGCAGGGCTTTTGGGGGGGGGGAGAGGTGCCGGATCTCTCAAGAGGGAAATTAAGTTTTCAATCCGTATACTGAAAACTCATGAACTTTTAAACATTTTAAAAAGAATTTTGTCGAAGAGGTTCCAGAACTCTGTTCCGGGGCATGCCCTCAGGAAAAAAGCCCTGGATAGATGTATGTAGTGAGGCCACTGTAGATCTGCACTCTTCCTTCTCCTGAGCAGACAGACAAGCTTGCAAACTGAAGATCAAGCAGTTACCAGTGGAAGATGGTTGTGCAGAATACTGATTGGTCAGCCATGAAGCTACCTATCCCTCCTCTCCCTTCCTCCTCTGGCCCTTTCAAGTGGTGTTTGACTGGGCCCTGGGACAGAATACCGGTTGGCTAGCCCACATGGCAATCATGACGCCACCTACCCCTCCCTTCCCCTGCTGGCCATGCAAAGTGGAGACTGACTGGGCTTTGTAGCAATCACAAAGCCACCGTTTCCCCTAAAATATGCTGAATAAAATTTAACAGGGTAAGTTAGGTTGGGTACTTTAAAAAAATGTTTAAAAGTAAGCCAAGAGTCTGCATGGAGCATTGGGAGGATATAGCTCTGTTTAGGAGGGCACTGTAAAACGTTAAAAACATTAAAACCTCATTTGAAAAATGTATGTGTTCAGTATTTAACACACACACTCTCTCTCTAGTCGACCTAAGTCACTGAGACATTAAGGCCGACTATAAATAACATAAATAAAAGTAATAGAATATTTTGGACTATGAAATTGTCTCATCTGGGTTAGTCGTCTCTCTGTTTGGACTGGCAGGCTGAGGCTGAGGCAGAGGACGGTCATTTCCTGGACCCCCTAAGGGAAGAATTGTACAATTTGTTAGTTCCATAAATATTTTAACCAATGATTTAAAAAAAACAATAACCACTTGAGCCACCGCAGCGCCAATAAATATTTTAACCAATGATTTAAAAAACAACAACAACCCAGCAGAATGCAGTCGCAGGGGCTGTGATTTCCCCAGTGGGGCTAAAAGCAACTTGGGAGGGGGGGATGTTTGGTGGGAAGGGGTGAAATAGCCCTGCATCCACCTTGGTGGGCTCTCCTTTCAAATCACAGCCCTTGCAGTCTGCTCATTAAAATCCAGTGGGGTGGGGGATGGAAATCATAGCTTTTTAAATCTGGGAACTCTCAACACAAAGCCTGTGGCCCAGCATGAACGATGGGGCTCTCCCCCTTGAATGTTGCTCATGGTTTCCCCTTTAACCCTTTCCTCAGCTGGTGGTGGGCATTTTACAAGCCGCTGACCTCCCAGCGTTGGACATCGGGGGCACCTCTGACCCTTATGTCAAAGTCTTCCTGCTACCGGAGAAGAAGAAGAAATTTGAGACCAAAGTCCATCGCAAAACCCTCAACCCCACATTCAATGAGTCGTTCACTTTTAAGGTAACGTTCCATCAGTCTCTTCTTCCGTTGTTGCCTACTTTCTGGAGGGTCCCCGTTTCTTGCACCCTTGCTTCTTAGCGCTGGCCTCCCTCCACCCTCTTGGGATGACCCTTGAGTCTCCCACCCGCACTCTTGCCCGACAGTTGATCTAACCCACAGTGTGCTTCACTTAGGTTCCGTATTCAGAACTGGGGGGCAAGACCCTCGTCATGGCCGTCTACGACTTTGACCGCTTCTCCAAACACGATGCCATCGGTGAGATCCGCATCCCCATGAACACTGTGGATTTGGCCCACGTGATTGAGGAATGGCGGGACCTGCAGTCAGCAGAGAAGGAAGAGGTAAGTGACCATTACGGAACCTTCTTTCACAAGGCCGAGGCAGATGAGGTGCTGGAATATCTGGGAAAGGACTGACCAAATGGCTCGGCCCCAATGGAGGGAGGGGCGGGTAGTGTTCATATGGGAAGGGACCACTTTGTTGCCTAGCCAACAGGGCTTCTTCTGAAAAACTAGTTTTTGTAATAGTCAAAGCTCGCTCACAACGTTCATGCTAGTAGCTCACAAAGTAGAATGTTTGCCCACGAGACTCCACAGCTTAGAGGGAACATTGCTCCATCCCAGCTCTGCATTGTGGCCCTCCTTTTCTTCCCACAGCATGAGAAGCTGGGAGATGTTTGCTTTTCACTGCGGTACGTCCCCACGGCTGGGAAGCTGACAGTCATTGTGCTCGAAGCCAAAAACCTCAAAAAGATGGATGTGGGGGGGCTGTCAGGTAAGAACACCTCACAGTGGTATAGATGGGAAAGGTAAGCCAAAAGCCACGGGAATTTGACTTAAACTGAATCAGATCCTTGATCTGCCAAGATCACTGTGGTCTGACTCAGACTGGCAGGGCCCCAAGTCGAGGTCTTTCACATTATCTGCTATTTGGTCCTTTTAAACTGGACATGCCGGGGACTGAACCTGTACCCACCTGCACAAGCTCTGCTTCCAAGCCACGGTCTCTCCTTAAAACCGGACAGTTTGGTCATGCCTGTTATCAGGGCTATTTTTGGGCAGGAACGCACAGGAACGGAGTTCTGGCTGGCTCCTGAGTTGGCCACGCCCAACAGGAACTCATTAGCATAATAAGCCACACCCAACAGCAGGAACTCATTAGGATTGGCTACATTAGGGGTGTGTGGCCTAACATGCAAAGAAGTTCCTGCTACAAAAAAAGCTCTGGGTTTTGACAACGAACAAGGTAAACAGAATAAGAAGCAAAAGGTGGGTGTGGCTGGATGACCACACTTCTGGTAACATGGGGGCGTGGCCTAATAGGCTAATGAGTGGTGCTGTCAGGGGTGTGGCCTAATATGCTAATGAGTTTCTGCTATTGGGTGTGGCCTATTATGCTAATAAGTTCCTGCTGCGCTTTTTCTACAAAAAAAGCCCTGCCTGTTATCCCATGCTTTATTAATTGCTGAGCTCGTGTTTCTCAGGGCAACAGGCAGGCATTGTATGAAGTGAAGAAATCAGCGTATTCAAGAACGCAACCCCTAGCTGCATTTGACAATGGTACAATCACAGAGGGCTATTTCACGTATTTGGGGGTGGGGGGAAATGGGACAGTTCAATGTATTTTGTTGCCCCAGGCAAGGTTTGCCCATTGCCTTCTTCCTCCGTGAAGGCCCCCGTGGCACCTAGCTGTTTTCATGATGCCACCCCAAACAGTTGGTTGGGTGACTTGGCCAGAGGTCTGGCTCGGAGGGGAAGGATGAGAACAGGGAAAGGAAGTAGGACAGAATGGATCGTTGGGATAGGGTAGGAGTTTGGGAGAGAAGAGACTTCAGACCATCTGTGGGCAACAGATGGGCAAAAAGCCAGGGGCCTTGCCCGCCAAAGCCTACTCTACAACTCAGGTGTCTGTTCACCTTCCAATCCCCGTGGGTTTAATAGAGAACAAATGGACAACAGCTTTAATTTTGACCAACTGGAGTTCAAAATGTACTATGCAAGCATCCAGGTTACACAGAACTCTGCTTTAGGCCAGTCACTTATATTTGAAGAAGAGTGCCTGCACACAAAAACTTATACCCAGGATTAAACCTGGTTGTATTAAAGGTGCCACTGGACTCAAACTTTGTTCTGTTGCTTCAGACCAACATGGCTACCCACCTGAATTTTTGTTCTCATTTGTTTTTCTCAAACATGGCTTCAAAATTACAGGTCTCAAGTGGGGAATCTGAAGATGCAGAGAGCTACTGTAACCAGGGGTCATTTCGTAAAAAAAGAGCTAGGGGAACTCATTAGCATAACTCATTAGCATATGCCACACACCCTGACATCAGGGGCCCGGCGGTGGACCTGCAAGGCCGGCGGGAGTGCGAGGAAGCCCCGCCAAGGCCCTCCCTGGCCCCAGGCAGGCAGGGGTGGGGAGAGGTGGGGAGGAAGCAACTTACCCTCCCTCTTCTCCTGCCTCCTCCTGGCTGAATGAGGGCCGGAAGCGGGGCGGCCGGAAGCAGGGGGCGGGGCTTCATCATGTGCCCCACCCCCCGTACCTCACCAGGGGGAACTGCGATCCCCCGCGATCCCCCCCGAAATGACCTCTGACTGTAACTTATTCTGTGGTATAATGAATTACCCATTATTCTAATCTTCCGCTTTCCCTCTCTCCAGACCCCTATGTTAAAATCCACCTCATGCAGGGAGGGAAACGTATCAAGAAGAAGAAAACAACTATAAAGAAAAATACCCTGAATCCCTATTACAATGAGTCCTTCAGTTTTGAGGTGCCTTTTGAACAAATCCAGGTAAGCCAGTCCTCTCCCAGTTCCCCCACATAAATCAGCATGTCACCAAAGTTTTGCTCATTTTAATTATTTCTACAAATATTTTTACTTTGTTGAAAAGCCACACAGTGAGTTTAGATGGTGAGTAATATAAAAAATAAGTGGCAGATATGGGGATAATTAAATGTCTAAGTCTTTTGTTTTTGGCTCCATGTTAGATAATCAGGAAAATTTAACAGATACAATACAGGAGTAAAAAAAGGTATGAAATGCGCGATATGTAACTTCATTGGAATAACATCAGATATAAGAGATTAATGAATTTATTATGATTTTGTGGATGTGCCTAGAGTTATGTACTTGTATTTCTTTTCTTTTTTCTTTGTTTGTTGGTTTGTTTGGAAAATTAATAAATAGATTATTAAAAAAGAAAAGAAAAGCGACACTGTGCACTTGAGGCACAAAGATGAATTTTCTGAAGTGTTAGTTCAGGTCTCAAAACACATTAGGGTCCCGATCACACGGGTCTTTACATCCGCCCAAGGCACGGATGCCTGGCAGATTTAAAGGGAACAATCAGACAGCGACATCTGGGAAAGGTGCCGCTTCCGTGATCAGCCCGTTTAACCCTGCCAGGGAGCCGTACTTAAAAGATACCGGTGAAAATCCAGTACTTTTGATTGCCGACAGGCCAATGGCGGACTCTCCTCCATTTGATCATTCCTGCACGCAATCAGCCCGTCGGGATGGTCTGTTCCAGACCATCCCAAATGGCCACCATTTTAAAAAAATTCTTAGTGATATGCGCATAAACGCGTAAATGCGTGACAGCTGCAGAGCTCTACTCAAATGTTCCAAACAATTTCATGTTTCTGAATGGCTCGTGAAATTTATGAACGGCGTTAATTGAATTGGTACCTAGACGGAGGTACTACTGGCGGTGCTTTAACCATTCAATACCGCGCATGCATGGAAAAACAAGTACACGTTGAGGCCCAGATGCGCATGTGCAAACAGAATTTTTAAAAAACCCTGACCGCGCGGCTCCTTCAGGTGGACGCCGTCAAGACAATCCACCGCGGAGTACACGTGGGGTAAGGGGAGCTGTCTGGTCATGCAAGTCTGGATAAAAAGGAACTGGATCAAATTAGAGCTGGGCCAATGGTGGGATTAGCTGCCTGTCTGAATGCACCCTAGGTTGACCATCTTGCTATTGCACATCATGTTGGGCTATTGATTTTCATTGGGCCACATGCAAATAGCTGATTGGCTAGTTGCTATGCACGGTGCTGAGCTATTGTGCTTCCTTTCCCTTAGCTGTAAAACTTCTTTCATATTAAGGCCATTTCTTTCTTTCTTTCTTTCTTTCTTTCTTTCTTTCTTTCTTTCTTTCTTTCTTTCTTTCTTTCTTTCTTTCTTTCTTTCTTTCTTTCTCTCTCTCTTTCTCTCTTTCTCTCTTTCTCTCTTTCTCTCTTTCTCTCTCTCTCTCTCTTTCTCTCTCTCTTGCTTGAAATAACCTTGTGGAAATCTGGTGCCACATTCAAAACATGTGCAATTACCAATATAAAATTTATACTCCTAAAAAGGAAAATAAGAGTTGTCCTATCCTTATTAAAAAAACCTGTGAACGGGAAAAAATGTCAGCTTGTCAAAACTCCACAGAGTTTGCTCGTCCTGGGTTATGTGCCAGTTCTTCCTTGAGAGTAAACATCCCTTATAACTTGCAGACTCTCTAAACAATAGAGGCTTTGAGTGCTAGGCAATGGCATTTAGCCTTCAATACAAGGTTGCCAACCTCCTGGTGGTGGAAATCCAACAACAACATCCGTGATAAAAATAATGAAGAGTCAATAAAGATACATTGCAAATTCATTTACTGTAGTAATTCTGTAGAAAATTCCCTTCTATTATCATGTAGCAATCACAATTCTTATCAATTACTACTTATCAACTCTTGAAGGAAACATTCCATGTCGACTTACATTGTGAAGACCTTGGGTTCTGTTATTAGAGTCAACATGGAATGTTTCCTTCAAGAGTTGATAAGTAGTAATTGATAAGAATTGTGATTGCTACACGCTCAGATAAAACAAATATTGTGAAACGAATTGTTTACATTGCGCAGCATTCGTTAGTGTGTGAGCGATAATAGAAGAGAATTTTCTACAGAATTACTACAGTAAATGATTTTGCAACATTATTTTTGTCACGGATGTTGTTGTTGGGTTCTCACTTCCTCCCGTAATCTCTCATTTTTGGCTTCAACCTCCTGGTGGTGGCTGGAGATCTCCTGGAATTACAACTGATCTCCAGGTGACACAGATTAGTTCCCCTGGAGAAAATGGCTCAATGGCATTATATCCAGCTGATGTCCCTCCCCTCCCTAAACCCTGCCCTCACCTGACTCCACCCCCCCATATCTCCAGGCATTTCCCAACCCAGACCTGGCAACCCTACTTCTATATGATTCTAAGGGCTGCACTAGATGTTTGGCAACAGCTGGATGTCAGCACCCAGGTGGCTGCAAAGCAGTGAGGGGGAAAGGGTGGAATCTTATGTGACAAGTGACGGGCAGGACGGAGTGCTTCGTCATTTCCCCACCTGTTCTTTTCTCCTGTAGTTCGCTGTCACTGTGACAAGCATGTATCTGGAATCCAAGCTGGAAGAAAAAGAACTATTGGGAGGGTGTTGGAGGGCAAAATCAGTAGACAGAGGAAGGGTTGAGACTCACCCAACTGACCCTCACGCACTCCCCACAAAATCCGGCGCTCCACTTGCTGCTCTACCGATGTTCTCTGCCCTTAGAGTTTGGACTTCAAATGAATTCATCCTGTGCTCTCTTCTTTCTTTATAGAAAGTCCAGGTCGTTCTGACAGTCCTCGATTATGACAAACTGGGCAAGAATGAAGCTATCGGGAAGGTCTTTGTGGGATGCAATGCAACAGGGGCCGAGCTGCGCCATTGGTCTGACATGCTGGCCAATCCACGGAGACCCATTGCCCAGTGGCACACACTGCAACCTGAAGAAGAGGTGGATGCGGTGGTGGGCATAAAGACCTCTTGATGCCCCTTTCCTCTTGGCCAAAACCTGCGGCAACAGTTCCTTCTCCCGTCCAGAACGAATGGGAGTGTGTGGGTGAGGCACCCCTGAAAATACGTGTGTGTGTTGGGGAAGCCTGTGAGCCTGTCTTCTCTCAGAGCCATTTCCTGTTAAAAACAAAACAAAACAAAAACATCTCCAAGAGAAAAAAAAATCTGCTGTTTTTTATCCACTGTGTGAAAAAAGGAAGGAAGCTTACGCAGTAGTTTAACACGGGTGAGAGATTTACCATAGGTTTACTAGGAGGCTTACGGTACAACTTGTGTAGGTTGAGGTGTTTGGGTTTCAGATGTCGACACACTGCATTTTGAAACTGAGTATTGAGTGCAAACTTTTTTACTTTTAAACAAACAATATACATTGGATATTATATTACGATGCTAGTTTTTAAAAACAGTCCTCAAAGAAACCTATTGTATATCTTTAAAACAAAACCTTTTACATTTGCTAAAGGTTCTTGTAGAAGGCCACAGTTACATTTTGGATATTGTACTATAGTGCCATCTTTGAAAACTAGACCTAATATGTAAGTCTATTGTAAATAACACTTACCAATTTGTTTACAATAAGTTTACTAAAAGGTTACAACAAGTTGTATTCTTTGATAACATTAACTATACAGCTTTGTTGGACATTGCATTATACTATTGCTTTAGAAAGTTAGGGGAAACAGGCCAGAAATCTTACAAAACATAGTTTTAAAGTAGATTTTCTGTAACTTGATGGCTTTAAAGTATGACTAAAATTGGTCATTGTATTAGGAAATATTTAAAATGTGGATCCTGAGCATATTGACTGCCTCAAAATAGGTTTGGATCAGGATAACATTATAAAATACGTTGTGCGTGGGCCTCATATATAAAACTTTGGTAAATAGGTTTAGTATAAATGTAGAGTATCCTAATGATTTTATTACAAACTGTTTGCATAACTGTCAGACATTTAAAAACTAGCCCTCAGTTGCAAACTACTGTGGATATGCTCAGCATACGTTTGTAATAGGATTTTTTTGTTAGATTACCACAGTTTTATGGGTTTTGATGTAAAAAGCATAGTAGAATTTTAAGCATCATCCAATGCATTAAGGTGTTCACGTAGTTTAGCCTACTTTATTTCTGCTTAATCATAATAGTCCCAACATAACCATTCATCTGTTTTTATGGCATGGTTAACACATGTTTTACAACATATTTATGAAACTTTCGATATGGGTATTATAGACATTTGCTCTAGGCTTTTTGTGGACATATAGTAGGTTAACTACAGATTTACTAATGGTTCTTACCCAACAAAAGTTACCTTTGCTATGTTAAAACATGTTTACATTTTTGCTACAAGTTTAAGACTGGTTTATTATACAACTGCAATGGGTTTACTGTTTGTTAGCAACCAGTTTGATGCATTTTATATGAAGAAAAAAATTAACAGGAAGTTTACTACAGGATTTACAATGGTTTTCCATAGGCCAGACCATGTTTACAACACCTTTGCTATGACAACTTTACAAGTTCCATTGGTTTTGTCTGTCTAGATATCTATTACAATTTTACCCTGCTGTTCCTCAAAAGAGCTGGAGGCGACATATATGTTGCTCCTCCATTTTATCCTCACAGCAACGTTGTGAGGTAAATTAGACTGAGAAAAAGTGACTGGCTCGGGCTTCAGGCCTGCTGTGATTTGAAATCAGGGCCCCTGATCTTAGTCAGCCATGTTAACCACAAAATCACACTGATTCTGAATTTTCAACAATGGAAATACATTTATCTTATAAGCCTGGAAGCTGCTTATGGCAGCTCTCAAATGGTTGTGATTTGATTTTAATTATCAATTTGGGATTTTCAGTCCTGAATTCAAATACTTGTATTCAACTTGCATAAATTTGAAATCACAGTTCTGGGCAAGGGTTTTTTTAGTGTAATTTTCTACTTTTGCTGTCACAGTGAATACATGTGTATATGTGTGGGGAAATGCTCCAATTTTATGGGGGGATCCATTTTTTAGTCACCAGAGTACAAATCAGACCATAAGAAAGGAAACTAAAAAATGAATTACATATATCACATTGGGGGGGGGGGGGAATAAATCAATTGTAAACTATGGATACTAATATTAGGGTTTTTTCTCTGGTTTCCCCCCAATATTTGATAGACCATTATAACACATTTATCATTCATTTGCATCTAACTCATATTTGAGATTAAGCTAAGCACTGAACATCTGGCTTTATCCACCGAACACGACGACTAGTTGGTTTCAGGTGCTAGAGATAATTTTAAATCCATTCAGTCGAGGGTGATTTGTGGATGAGATCCACTTTCCAAAAGGAGGAACCAACCATTCCTGGAGAGAAGATATCAGTCATTTGAATAGAAAGGCCCACCTACACACAAATCTTGCACTGGTGATAGGCTTGTGTGCTCTTTTTCAGTGGAGGCAAAATGTCTGACTTCTGCTCTCTAATTTTGGCTGTAGCAGAATCTCAGCTCCAGACACAGTAATATTCCTTCATTTCTTGGAGACAGAAATCAGTATTATGATTTTCAAAAGCCTTCCTTTAAAGTAAGGACAGACGGGCCAAAAGGTGAGGGGTAGACAATCTCTTCCTGAGCTAAAAACAGATTTTAAAGAGACGTCTGTGACGGAGAGATCTTTTATTGGTGCTGGTCAGATGTGACCTAGGATTGCCAGCTCGGGGTTGGGATATTCCTAGAGATTTGGGGGCGGAGCATGGAGGAATGAGGGTTTTAGGGAGGAGAGGGACCTCAGCAGGGTCCTCCAGGAGAACTGCTCTCCTTCATTGGAGATCAGCTGTAATTCCGGGAGATCTGCAAGCCCCATGTGCCAGGCTGGCTGTCCTATTGGATGGCTGTGAATGTTTAGGTATCATATTTACCTGCAGCTCAGCACAAATGATGGGAGAGAAGAGAGTAGGCTGTACCAGACCGGTGAGTGAGAAGCCATTTATGCAGAACAGTTCCCTGCTTCGAACATCTTTTTAATGATGTGTGATTGTGGTGCTTTAGCAGTCCTTTGCAACTGAATAGTGTGGTCCACACAGGAAAACCAGGTTTCCAGTGACACATCAGTACAATCTTTAACTATGTGCAGAGGCAGCCTCTGAGAGGTGGTTACCAGCATGTTACGTAATGTGGCATGCACCTCTGCCAGAATAGTCCATAAAGGACCATAGACTTTCTGCTTACCAGTTTCTCATCCACACCAGATTTTGGCATCTGGCACTTGCCAGGCTACTTCTGTGTGTAACCAAGCCAGTGAGTTTTACAGCTGTGGAAGTGGAGGATCGGCACTCTGGTGTCGTATGGTAACCCATGGACTTTGCTCACAATCAGACCCATGCATTCTGGAATTTATTCTGGTTGTGGATGTAGGCTTGCCAAGTCCCCCCGGGGGGCGTGGAAACCCCCGCCCCAGAGGCCTGTTCCCCGCCACCGGCGGATCAGGCCCCAGGGGGAACCCCATCCACGCCGGGCACGCTGGGGGCGGGGCCACAGTCATCTGAGGGAAAACTCTATGTTTTCCCCTCAGATGGTTGTGGCCCGCCCCCAGCGTGCCCGTCATGGTCGCGTCACTTCCGGGTGACGTGGATGCAGGGCGCACACGCTCCAGGAGCAACCCAGGAATCCCCCGCTCCAGATAAAGGTAGGACTTGGCAACCCTATGTGGATGAGATCCCTGTGTTACTCCTTTTCACATTTATGGTTTAGAAAGCTGGTACCTAAGTAATACTTGGTTTATTCAAGATAGGATAATCACATCATATAAACTGAAGAAAAATTAGGAGTTATAATGAGAATATGTCCAAGTAATGTTTGCAAAGGGTAATTCAGGTAACCTGGAACTAGAAGTCTCAGGGTTATGGCAGGATGTGTGTGTATCTGAGCAGGATTTAGGATCTCATGGTGAGTATCTTGTGGGTGAGGCTCCATAGCTAGGCCTTAGTTCTGTCTTCTCTCCAGAATGGAGGATCATCCTGTCATACAACCAAACATTCTGCGGCCCTCAAAATGAGAGCCATAAAGTATTAGCACCTCCACCACTGTTTTTAAATAGACTACTTCATTTCCATTGAGAAAGGAAACACATTTTGACACCCATTTGTACAATCTGGAGTTCTTCCAGATTTTAACAGAACTCTCGATTCAATGTCAGTTTTGTAACCAGTGGATTTTTTTTAAACTGTCAGTGGAGATGCAGAAATCAATCCCCTTTCACACAATGGAGAGGGACGTAAAAATGAAACCAAAAAGGAAACAAACGAACCAAGAAAAAGACCAGGCCAAGGTTGATTGCCCAAAGGAGGGCATGGTGGCCATTTTGTTGCTAGTGTGTTTGTGTAGTTGCGGTGTTGTTAGACTTGCGCACCCATCCCCATCTAATTTCAAAACAATTCCCTGCTGTGTTGACCTCCTCAAATTCATCTTAAATACAATCCTAACCCTCAACTCTGTTTTAGTTTCAAGTATTAGTGTCACAGACAAGAGAAATATTCAAGATGGCGGTTGCTGTGTCATGAGATACTGTTTAATATGTTCTAGCAACAGCCATTTGTTTCAGGTAGCTGAAATGCCGTCTTGTTTTCCTTTCCCTCATAGTCCGCTTCGTAGTTAGAAAAGCATACTCAAAAGGTGGTCCATTAAGATGGTCCTCATTTGAATTGTTGGTGGGTGCTGTTCCATGTGCTGTCCTCTGGCCCCAGCTAACAGGTTCATCTTCCTTCCATTTCCATCTCTCGCTGACATCTATCCTCTATCTTTTGGCATCAGCAAGCATGTAGATGCCTTGTTCGACGTGTCCACCAACAGGCCACTTCTGTGTTTTGAGGAGTTGTGTAAATGTAATGACCGAAGGGATTGTACACTAAAGTGCAGAAGGCTTTGTAACTTTGATGTGTGTTGTTCCTAAACCCTTCAGTCCTCCGAATTACTCCTTTTAGAGGCGCTGTCGTTTCCAAGCCGTCTCTACTGCCCTTTCGAAACCAGTTTTAATAT